AAAAACATGTTTATATTATAAATAAATTAAACTTGATTTTTATACAATTTAACATATTTATTTTTATATTTTTATTAATATTAAAATTATTATAAAGCAGGTCTTTAAGATTATAATTTTAACAAAATATTTTAAAAAAAATATCTATAACAAATAAATAAATCTTTAAGACATGTATTTTTAAAAAAAGTTAAATTCAAACTTATTAAATTATAATATAATCTAGTTTGACTTAATTTATTTTCATCTTAAATCATAATATTAAATATAAAAATTTATAAAAAATAATTATAATATATATTTATATATTTAAAAATTATATGTAAAACTTTTAATACTATAAATATATGAATAGATATTGTCCCATTATCTAAATTTTCTAGATCCTACCGTAGCACTGTTTCCCGAATGATGAATTTAGAGCGGATGGCCTAAAATTTCTTTTCTGATGCTCATCTACATCCTTTTAAATTGGCAGCAGATGCACTGTTCTCGTTCTCTACAAATAACCAGTTTTCCAACTATCCCTCTCGTTCCTATCCAAGAAAAAATATATATATCGCATGGCTGATAACAGCGTATAAAGTATAAACAAATAGACACACAAGCAAATCCACAATGCCTTAAATTAAATCTCTTCCATTTCAATAGTCTGACCCTGCTAAGTGCTAATCCATCTTGCGACCATTACTGTGGTTCTTTTGCACATTTGGAGTGATGGGATCAATGAGGAAGGATTTTAAATTCTTGTACATCTCCTTCGGCTTCTCTACATTCAGTGCATGCCCTGCATTCTTAATAACCACTAGTTGTGCGTTGTCTCCCAGATGCCTAAACACCAGGGGAAAAGAAACAGAATTGAAGTTTAAACAATTGTGTGAGTGTATAACAAAATAAAATACGTTGTTTATGTTTTCATGTTATACTGATATCTGGATCGCGATTACTCCGTTTGATGTCTTTACCAAAACGGTAAAACATTAGCCAACGAAGCTGAAGAGACAAGAGATGTTTTGAACATAAAATTAAAAGTGCGCTAAAATCATTTGAAATCACCTTTTCAGTCTGTGAGCTAATTCCATTGGGAATACCAGGTCCTGTTCTCCCCAGATTATTAACGTAGGCTGCATCATTGAAATCATATGCCATTTGAGAAGTTACAGTGCAAGATTGCAAAGTGGTGAGTGAAATTAACTCATAATGTAAAATCAGAAGAGAGAAGAAAAAACCTGGGTTATCTTGGGAAGATTAGAAAGTTTTCTATCCTTATGCAATGTCTCGATTAGTTCTTTCCTCTCTTGGCGGTTTTCCGTACACATCACCTGCAAATAAAACCAGTTTCAGTAACTAACTTTTGGTAAACTGACAATCCTTGCATGCGTATTCACGACAAGGGATAGACAACCAGAAGTTTGGATCCTCTCTTATTCTGAGTAATCATGTACAGTTGGAATTAAAGAGAGAAAGACAATTTTTATTAAATAAATTCTATACATGCTTATATAAGTGTCTTTTTCTCTCTAAGAGGACCCTATTTTGTAGTAGAAAAGAGGATCCATCCAAATCCAGCAATCAGACAACGCACAAGCAGACACAAGTTATCATCAATTAAAGGACAACATAAAAAGAGCAAATCTTTCTCCAATGGGACCAATCCAAATGTCAAAAATCAAATGGGAAGTACACTTCAACATTCTAGAGCACAAGGAATTGCCCAAAAAACCAGTTGAAGTTTCCAATTATCAGTAATAACATCGATTACAACATTCAGCCTCAAAATACGCCCCCACCCTGAAGGTGTAAAACAATACTCCAATGATTTAATCGTCATACACCACCCTCAACAGTTCAGAAATCACAATTGTATGAATTGAATTTCAAAATAGTTATAGTAAAGTCAAAACAAACCTACGTGTGTGATTAGAAGACAAGGTAAAGTAATAGCTATTTTTCAGTTTTCCGTTAATTAGTTAACAATAGTTTTACCCTATTGAGTACCATGACCATGTCTAATCAACCACCATTCAATTATGAAGAAAAACAGAGCTTCCGCTTTTAAAGCAAATAGAATTACACGAACTGTGTGAAGCCAGATCATGAAGAAACCATTAATCTTTGGCAAGAAAGAATATAAATTTGAAACATCAAATCGGTCCAACAATTTTCAGGGCCAATTGAACAAAAATTAATTGATCTTTAATTTGACGAGAGATAGAGATACTCACGTGAATGAAATCAGAGAGGAAACAAGTTGGCATGAGTTTGATAGGCTTAGCAAACGTGAGCTGCACGAGCTGCCTCAATTTTTCCGGCGTCTGCGGCAACAAAATTTCAACAGCTTCTTCGACACTCTTCACTTGAAACATGCCTTCGTCCATGTCCCTCTCTTCCAAGCAAACCCCGGCGCAGCATAGCACCACCTTCTCCACGCGCTCCGGGAACTGCGCGGCGAGGCTGTAGGCCACGAAGCCGCCGTAGCTTATCCCGACCACGCTGGTTGTGCGGACTCCGTGGGCCTGGAGGAGGCCCATGACGCAGTGGGCCTGGAAGGCCTCGGAGCGGTCAGGGCGGGTGGTGTAGGAGTCCCCGAAGAAGAGAAGGTCCGGGACGTAGACGTTGAAGCGGCGCGTGAGGGGCGAGACGAAGTCGTTCCACTGCCACATTGCGTTGGCCCCTATCCCGTGGAGGAGGAGGAGAGTGGGCTTGGAGTCGTTGTGGGCCTTGGGGGCCCATGAGTGGATGATGGAGCCGTCGCCGAGATCTGTGGTGGTGGACTTGAGGCCCGCGTTGGAGAAGGAATAGCGGAAGCAGGTGTCGCGCGTGGCTGTGAAGCTGAAACACCCCGCCATCCCTCTGTGTGTGTGTGTGCGAGAGACTGATATGATTGGTCAATGATGAAGAAACAGTGCAGAGTGTGGTTTGCTTTTTGCTTTTTGCTTTTTGTGTTTTGCGTGCGTGCGTTTTGTTCGAGACTCGAGAGTGAGGGATTCTAGAGGACACTGGTCACTGCCCGGAGGAAAGAAAAAGATCTTATGTTTTTCTTTATTATGTGCGATTAGTTAATTTTATTTTAATATTTTTTAAGATCTTATTTTAATAAAATATTATTTTACCTTTTTTTTAAAAAAAGTCAAGAAAAACCAGTTTTCTTAAAGGGTTAATTGCATGTTTAGTCACGTGTAAAACTTTTTTTTTTCAACTTTTAAGTGTGGTCAAGTCATTTATATTGTAAAATGGTACAATTTTCATCCATTTATCAGTATCTTGTTATTGTTGTTAACTATTTAATATATATATATATATATAGATAGATGCAAACTAATATGACAATTGAAATGTTGGTGTGACACATAACTTTACATAAATATTTTACTTATGGGTTGTCACAATTGTAAATCACTAAAAAAATTAAATTTAGTCATCTAAAAAAAAATGATTGTGTTAGATAAAATTAATATATAAGTTATAAAATTTATAATATATTTTTCTGATTTTAAATATAAACAAAAAAAAGTTTTCATGATTGTTGAACTCAAATATAAATAAATATTAATTAATTGCATTTTATTTAATGATGTTATTTTTAGAATACTTATCATTTAATTAAGATTATATTTCTAATATTTTTAGAGATAAAAATATTAAATAAATTATCAAAGATAAAAAATGATTAAAAAAAATTAACATCTTATAAGCTATCTTGTTTTATTATTATTATTTTTTTTTTTTGTAAAAGGAAGGTAAATGACAAAAAAAATGAACTACATATGGATAACACTAGTTCCTATGGCATCTACAAGGAGGGCCTCTGACACTACAGGAGATGAAACTTCTAAAAGGAGTCGTGGTTCATCTAGGGAAAAGCCCATCTTGACTATGATATTGGCTCATGAGTTGTCTTCATGTAAAGTGTAGATAACTTCAACATTTCAGTCCTAGTTTAGGAGATCCTGAATATTCAAGCAATTAGTGATGGAAGAGCATGGGCTAAAGGCCCAACCACTAGAGCTATGGCTAGGAGGTTACTTGAAGATTTGACTGCTTCAGAGCTTAGTGGGCCCGATGGGCTTGGTGGGCCTAGGGTGCTTCTTACTTGGACTTAATTGAATATACAAAGATCCGGCCTAAGCAAATTGAGGAGAAGAATCACTTTCACTTCTTCTAGATTTGCTATCAATTAGTGGCAAAGATATGAGTCAACAATAATTGTTGCTAAAGGGTGTGAATTGCTTGCATGGAATTAGTGTAGTAGCATAAACTTTTGTATGCTTTCTCCCATGCATTAACAAGGCCTTAATAGATTGCCATGAGTTTTGCATGCATGTTGGTGGATATGCCTAAGTACCCTATGGAACCAAATTTTTAGATATCGTTTGCATCTCACATAAGACCCCCAACTCCAATTATTCTTGGGCTATATATACATCTTCCATCTATCTTAAGAACTATAATGTCTTTGCGATTGCCAGCGAACCCATTGCACTAAAGGGGTTAGGTGTTGACCAGATAGAGCCACATGAAAGCATATATAGGAAGTTGGTTTCAACCATAGAAGAGTCTCGGGGCATTGAACAATACTGCCTAGTTGTTGTCTATGACCTAGTTATGATGTGATCTTTACACCCACTAAACCACCTCGCGCAAAGACATGGGAATTGTGGGTATCGACATCATTCTTGATCTAAGTGTTGTTATAGTCAAAAAAATGTTGATTGAGTGAACCTTAAAACAATCCACAATGATTGAGAAAAAGGACAATCTCTAACTATATTTAAAAAAAAATCGCACTCATTATTACATCAATTACAAACTAGAGATTGTGCCATTCTTCTATGGTGGAGATTATTCATGCTTGAGACTGATTGGTGACATGCAAAACAATAAATAAACTTTACATTCTTTGGTAGTTTCGTCTTCCATAGCCATCTCCAAGATTGGGATGTTATGTCATATATGCCAAGCCTTTTAAAGACAATTCAGTTGTAGCTTGTTTTTATCAAACAAGTGTCATCAACGTTATCCCAAACCAATGCATTAGGGACATTGTTATTGAAATGGTACCTTATATCCTTTAACTTAGCAACAATAATCTAGTTTAGTATGGAGGTATATAAGTCTTTAAGACACCATTTGTTACTGACGTACATGTCCTTAATTAACTGTGAGAATTAAATCCACAATGTGTACATTATCTATGCTACTACAAAGCGAAGCCTTACCTGACCAATCCACATAACAGAAGGAGGTATGGTCGTCTCTCACGATAATCAAAGAAGAGGAGGAAACACAATACATAACGAGGTTAATCATCGAATTCTTATTTTAATAAGTAACTTTATGGAAATAAACTATAGACTACTAAAATGATAATTTACTTTTTGTGTTTTAATTTTATTTTTAACTCTATTTTTTATATCTATATATGAAAAATATATTAAATAATAAATTATATATATAATTATTTTCTAAGAAATATTATTTATTCCTTTCAAATTAAATTTAACATTAATTAAAAATAAAACAATAAACACATTTATCAATGTTAAATATAATATGATATAATGTTTTAATTATGATAACAAAAAGAAATAACTAAATAATTTAAATAGTTCTATTTATCTTGAAGATAATGAATTATTATATTTAGCATAGAGTCACATTTTAAACCTTATCATCAAAGTGTCATACTATCTGTCTATGAATGATATTACTTTTTTTATTAATCTATTAAGAATTTTTTTAAGGGATTCTATTAAGAATTATTTAATTATGTTATTAATATAATTTATAATATTTTATTTATTTATCATCTACTATATTTTTTATTTATAAAAAAATTGTATAATATATGTATAAATTTATTATTTTAAACATTTTAAAAGCAGTTTAATAAATTAATATTTCTCCTGTGACGGTGAACGGACTTTTCTCTTTCCACCTAAAATAATTAGTTTGTAGAATAAATTTTCTTTGATAAAGATTGAAAATGACAATGTACTTAATAAGCATCGAACGCGAGACAGCTCCTAATAAAATTATATTAAACAAATAAACGCGTGGATAGAAAGACATATAAGTTATAATGTCAGACCTTTACCAAAAAGCAATAAAACTTTACCTAAACAAAAAACACAGAATTTTTATTTAAATATTAATAAATTGCCAAAATAATATATATCGAGTTTGACTGTTGACAAAAATAATCATTAATCAAATTTTACTACCTAATTAGCTTAAATTAAAACTTTAAAACACCGATGTAAAATCAAGAGAGAAAAAAATCATACCTTAAAATATATTTATCAAAGTATTATATTTATCATTTATGTTAAAAAATTTGGTATCCTTTTAATCAATTTCTCACCAAAGTTTATAAAAAAACTTTCATGCACCGATAAATTGGTTAACCGGTAACCAATTTTTCAATTGTAGTTTTTTACAAATTTATTTTTTAATATTATTATTTTTATAATACTTTTTTATTTAAATTATTAGCTTAAAAAATAGTTAATGTATAAATATTTTTTTTTTAAGTATATTTGTTTTTATTATAAATATAATATTTTTAATGATGATTGATAAATTTTGTAATACGCGTGTTGGATAATTTTTTCAGAAAAAGTAAAAATATTGTTTTCATAAACATTGTTAATATATCATAGTCAGTAAAAATAAGATATCAAACAATGTTAAAATTAACTTTAAAACAAAATAACATAAATAACAAAATAAAAAGTACAATAATATAAATAGAAATTATTATTATTGACGGGAAGTTCTCACGTAATAATGACATTTTTTCTTTGTATGACCTAGATTCCTATACATGAGACATTTTTTTGGTTGATCTTGTTTTCTCATATTTATTTCTATGCGTATACATAAGAATTATGAATGACCTTTATTTATTTATTTTCATGTTTGAATTTAGACAAATTTGTGAATCATTATATTGTGACCAATATTTTTCATTATGCAACTCTCTAAACAATTATTTGTACACATTGAAAATGTATTTCTATCGTAAACAAATTGTATGTAAGACACGTAATAATAGTGAGCACATTTACAAGTAGACATATGAGCAAAACGTGGAATTTTTTGAATTTGTCACAATTATACTAATTTCATATTGTCTTGACTGTAAATTGTCTAGAGAATTGTTCCTCCCTTGGGTTAAGCGTCTCTTACACCAGGAAATGGTATCAAAATTTTCAAACTCAAACACGTGGTGACAACATTAAAATTGTTTAATAAATATCCACAAATATTAAAAAATATGCGAGTAGTTACTTAATGGATATTCTATGAATATGAAGACGAGTAAATGATAAATATTTATTTAAAATAAATATTCATGTATATTGAAAAATATGTAGGTGCCCACTTTATGGATATTTGTATGGATATGAAAATGATAATAGAAGGCTACCACCCGTATCTGTCACGTCCTGTTGACATTCTTACTAATGAATTTGGTTTTGAAGTATGTGCAAAAATTAATTATCTAAGTTTTTTTTTGGCTTACGTGTGGTTTGCACTATGAATTTGATTTCGAAGTACATGTAAAAATTAATCTATATTTTTTTTTCATAATGTAATTGATCTTTTAAAATCTTGTTTTCGATAATGTACGTATACTCTTTAATTTGTATCGCATGATGGATTTATACATCTTTAGAATATTTAAGATAAATTATATTTTTAGACATTATTTATTTTAAGAATTTAATTTAGTCCCATTTTTAAAAAGGTTCAGTTTACTCTTTTAATTTTTTAAAACGGTTCAATGTTGTATTTCCATCCAAATTGACATTAATAGCTTTAATAAAATTTGATGCAATGACAATATTTAACAATTTTTTTCAAATTAGAGGATCAAATTAAACATTTTAAAAATATTAAGACCAAATTGAACATTTAAAAAATACTAGAACCAAAATGAATATAAAATTATCTATATTTTTCTTTCTAGATAAATATAA